ATTATTTTTTAAAATAATCAGGGCTAGCTAGTTAAGTTTGAGGCTAGCTAGCTATAACTTGACTTGTTATCAAGCTCAGCTCATGACCTATTTATCGAGTTGAGTCCGAATCAGCTTATAGGATAGCATGACTCAGTTACATTTTTAAAGTTAGGTTTGTTCATGAAAGCAGAACTAAATAGCTATACAAAATATAATCAAACAATAAGTTTCAAATATTAAAGTAAATCTCATTAAATGTAAATCCTGAGAGTGACAATCTGCATGTCAGTTCAACAACAAGATTGAAGCTTTCACAATGATCAGTCAGAAGTGGTAAAGAAACTACAAAGCAAAACGACTGCCATTCCCATCTAAAAACTGGTCAGTATACCATCCTCTACACTTCACTTCAGAGATAAATGAGGGGAAAATTTTCTCCATTTTTCTATAAGCTGCACCTATAACTTCCTCTTCCGACGGCATGCCGGCCAACCTGCTTTCTTTAGAGAAGGCAGCCACCAGCCAACCTCTCAGTGCATCTTCTCCACCAGCACTGTTCTCCAAAATCATATCAGTGTGCCCGTTTTTGCAGTGGATCAAAAATTTTTCATTAGAAAACAACGCTCTCAGCCGTTCAAATTTCGAAGGCCTATCTATCACTTTGCGAAATGGTCGTCCCATCTTGACACATCCAGCTTCCTCTATGATTCGATCCGGAAAGAGAAGATTCTCCCGATACCGGAGGTCGGCGGGGCTCGGTACTCTTCCAGTCTGAGAAAAATGGATTTAATAATATGCTCAGTGTGGTTGGTTGATCAGTTGATTCTTCATGGTTAGTAGGTAGGAGATGGTGTTCTCACCTTCAAGAAATCAGCAACAATCATGGCTGTTCTCTGGGGATTTAATGTGTTTACTGGAGCTGCACGCATTTCTTCTTTGACACTATAGATATGTATGGCTGAAAGCAGAGGAGCAACAAGCAGCTGCAAGGAAGTGAAATTCAGAATCAATGCTGTATTTACACGGTGCTTTGCACAATAAAAAATGAGGCATTTACATACAAGTCACTCAATTCTTATGTATAAACTTCAATTTTTACATTTAACATTCAAATATTTCATATCACATCAAAATACCGCCAGTTAAACCTCTAAATCATGCAAGTAGTGCTTACAGAAATTAACCAATTTCTTCATGAAGGAAACTAATTGCTGCTAAGCAGTTTTTGTATCAGATAAGCAGATTCCATGCAAAGAAATATGGATGTGAAGATGAGCAGAAACGAATGCTCCACAAGAACAGATGAGAGGAAACATAAGAGTAATAGAACTCAATTTATTCATACGTTTGATGTTAAAATGTTACCCGTATTAGCCTGTTTAAAATACATATACTTTGAAAAGTTATGGTTGATGGCTTAGAAAAAGCAAAATATTTCAACAAACTATACAGTATTAATCAGCTGGTGATTACATGCAAATTCCATTCGATAAAAGCAAAAAAAAATAGCAGGACTACCTTTCCTTGCATTGTTGAACAAACTGTGGATGCTAATTGAATCCCTGCACCAAGTCCAAAAACATTGAAAAGGGTCGAGATAGCTTCCCCTTTGGCAAATAAATCGCTGAGATTGCCCTCTTTGGCAAAAGAAGAATATATTGGCAACCTAGTAGCTCTTGCAGCAACAACGGCCATTCCCTGTAAAAATAGATTATCCATGACAAAGTCCAAGGTAATAATGTGTTTGTAAAATATTCTTATGAATCATTAATTTAAATAAGGGTAATTAAACTTCACTCCCATGTTTAACAAACGCACTTAACCATTGCTGCCAACTAAAATTTGGTTGTTATCCTTTCCATTCAATTTGAGGGAAGTAGAAAAGACATTCTTACCCTTATGAAAATAATCACGACAAAGTTTTGCATCTTCGGATGCAACCCAATCTCCCATTCTTCACACAACACTGTGACGTGGCTATTTTCACTCCACTACGGTTTCCCACGGTAGGCAAGTCCATTCTCCTCTCAGCAATGTAATGTGGCAATTTCAATGCCTCAAGGCCCCAAGAAACCCACTTTCTCAAGGTCATTACTAATCAAAGAAACTCCGCACATCCCACAAGAGTTTCTAGAATTTGATATTCCCTTCAATTCTATTGTTTCATTCCAATTGTTCTCCCATCTGTTTGATCTTGTTATTTGTTCTTCTATGCTCCATTGTTGCTTTAAGGGTGAGCTCCTAATGCAGCAAATCTTAGGGACATCAATAAATCCACCATCCCTGTCAAGATTGTCATGACCAGACCCGAGACTTGAAATTAAACAAGACGAATACAAAAAGTAGGGTGGTGGAAATTAATTTTTCATATTCATTTTCTATAACTAACTTAACTATTGACAAATAAAAGAAACTAACTATTGACAAATAAAAGAATCACTAATCAAATTAAATTAAAATAATATAATTAAATTTACCTTATTAAGGCTGTCAGTTTCTTCTATAAACATTTCTTATTCTATTGCTCCTCTATTAAATGACTTAATTATAGCTGAAAAGTTAGTTTAAAACCAGTGAGCTAACCAAAATCGGTGAATACTCTCATACTCCTAAATCATAATAATAGAAAGGGACAAACAATATTTACGTCAATTAAACATTTAATAATAACCAAAATCGGTGAATACTCTCATACTCCTAAATCACAATAATAGAAAGGGACAAACAATATTTATGTCAATTAAACATTTAATAAATCAATATTAATATCAATTAAACATTTAATAATATTAATATTTAATAATATTAAGTTATTCAACAAATCTTACTATATCAATTATCTATATCATTCTATATCTGTAAAATCATTATAGGAGCATCATTTAAAAAGTAAAATAATTAAGGTACTTCAATATAAATATCTTTTTCCATTTACGTGCACGGATACCTTAGCATTCCACAAAAGAGTGACTCCATCATAGTCAATCATGCACATATAAGTATTCAATACAAACATATCATTTATGTGCACATCTCATTGAAATAGAAAGAAAAAAAGAAAAGAAAAAAGAGAGGGAAAGGAAGAGAGAGAGAGAGAGAGAGAGAGAGAGAGAGAGCTTCATCTTCGTCGCTTCCGACCCCTTTCGCTGTATGTCCTCTCTATTCGACTCTTCATTTCCTCTCCCCCTTTCTTCAGCTCTTCATTTCCACTTATGGCCTTCGTTTCCTCTTACTTATCAAGAATTCTCTTAATATAGAGTTAAGAAATTTATAGCAATAACCAATCCTCTACAGAGCTGCAACATCTTCCTCTTCGCTTCCTTCGACTGCAACTCAACACCGACACCTCGAGCCTCACACACCGCCGCTCTTCTCCTCTCTTCCTCCTCTTTTATGATGGCGTGTTAGGGTAGAGTCGAGCACCATAACACATAGAGAATCCCTTTCTCTCGCTTCCTTTCTTCTGCATGAGAGCACCACATCACTACCCTAACTTGCTAGGCACAACAGTTAATTCGACTTCAAAAATTTATAGAGAGAACATGTCTGTGGCTTCCGACCCCTTTCGATGTATCTCCTCTCTATTTGATTCTTCATTTCCTCTCCCTCTCTTCAGCTCTTCATTTCCACTTCTGGTTATTTGTTTCCTCTTACTTACCAAGAATTTTCCTAATATAAAATTAAAAAATTTACGACCATAATCAGTTTAAAGTACTTGAATAGGTGTTTTAAATTATGTCAAAATAAAGGTGTGAAAAGTTTTTAAAAGAGCCAACAGCTGCAGCTTTATCTTTTAAAATATAAACCAACGTCATCTACATATGGTCATCAAAGTAAGGAACCACCATGGTGTAGCAATGAGTGCGAGAGAGTCCTCATAAGTCACCGTAAATAAGAGAGAAAGTAGTGAAAAGTGTGTAATTGTGGGGTGAATAAAAAATACAATGATGTTTAGATAACTAACAGGTTTCACAATTGAAATTAGAAGGATATTTATTAGTGAACATCAACGAATTCAGTTGCTTAAATACTGGAAATTAGGATGCCTCAAATGATAGTGTAACGACACAATATGACATTCAGTGTACTGAGATAAACTGCAACTCCTTGGTGGAGTGTCCTATTGCTTTGTGTTTTTCTCTTGAAAGAAGTAGAGCCCGCCTACTCGCTTAACAGTTCCAATTATCCTCCCTGAACAACGATCCTGAAAAACACAGAAATCAGAGAAAAAATGAGCAATATAATCAACATCATATGTCAACTTACTAACAGATAAAATGTTACACGTCGGCAAAAGTACATGTAACACAGATTCCAAAGTTGGAAATGTTAAAACAACAAATCTTACCAATAATGGGACTTTGGGACCCGTAAAAAATTTTGACAGTACCTTTTCCTGAGCAAGGATAGTATTTCGAGAAAGCTTGAGAGCTTCCAGTCATGTGGTCCGCAACACCTAAATCAATTATTCATGGACTAGAAGAAGCAAAAAAAAAAAAAGGTGTCATAGAATTGGTACCTTGACGAACGTAGGAGGTCGATGGGCCGGAAGAGAGCAGACTGAATCCAAGCAACTTGATTAAGTGCTCCATTTGACTTTTAAAAGAATTGGAGGATTTTGGATTGTTCTAGGGTAGAAGCCAGATGTACTGTGTTGGATTCAGATGTCGTAGCGAGACCCTTGACAGCGAAATACTTGGCGGAAAGTTTGTATGCAAGTTTCCTGTGGAGCTTCAAACACTTATCACGAGTGTAATTGGATTTGTGACAAAAATCACAAGTGGAGTGACCAGCCCGGGGTTGAGCACTCTTAGAGAGCAAGGCAGAAGCATCAACAGATGGAGTGGAAGTAACAAGAATGACAAGTCTCCAGCTCTCTTCACGAATAATCTCAGTGAAAGCAGCACAAGTAGAAACGAGAGGATCCCAATCAATGATATAGCCACAGACTTCGTCAAGATCTTTGTTGAGGTCTGCAAGAAATTAGAACATACAGTCCTTTTCTACAATTTTATGGAAGAAAGATAGGTTGGCTTGGGATTCTCAAGTGTAATCATAATACAGGTCGCATTCCATCCATAATGTCACTAGATCATTGTAGTAATGGGTCACGGTCCTCGATCCTTGTTTTGCCGCATGGATTTTATGAGACATCTCATAGTGTTGGTTGGAATTTCCTACATCTGAGTAGGTATCACGAACTACTGTCCAGAGGGCACAAGCGGAAGGAAGAAATATATATAATCGACAAATAGAAGTCTCCATGGAGTTGATCAGCCACAACAAGACCATAGAATTCTCCACTTCCCAAGTTCTATATGTTGCGTCAGTCTTTGAGGTTCACAAATCACATCAGTGAGATGACCGAATTTCTCAAGTCCCTTGATGAACAAGGACGCAAATTAAGACCATTGAAGAAAGTTACAGTCATTTAGTTTATGGGTTGCAATCAGGAAGTTCATATTGCTTTCTTGTCCTCCAGTGTGCAGAGGAACGGAGGTTGGAATTGATCCTTCGGTGGAATCAAGAACATCTTTTAATGATGGCTCAGTGCTGGAGGAGTCCGTTGTGACTCTGATTGAGCCAAAAGAGATGTTAGGTTGTCGAGACATTGTAAAGTTCCAGCTGTTGGAAGGTGCCCCAGATGATTAGAATAGAGGTCTTGAAGTAGACGACAATCAATACCTTGTTGACCTCATTTTTAGTGAGGTCTTAGTCTCCTACTCTTATGTAAATTTGTTCTCCCCTGATCTTGATAGACGTCTGTTAAATTTAATCGTGAAATATTTTCCTTCACCTTCAAAAATTTAAGTTGCATGCTCTAACCACTTCTTGACTCATTTTTGTGAACAACTCGCATGAGTGGTTCCAAGCACTCAACTTTTAGTTGCAAGGGCTCAAGGGCTATTAGTTGCAAGGGCTAAGGATCAACATGTAGAGGGCCCGAAATTGAGTTCCAATAGGATCAAACGGCCTTAGGTGAACCTTTTGTGACTCGATTACTCGTAAACGCCACAATTCATGCATTTACTGCACCACACACGACTTTGACTTGAATCGACTCGCCCATCGGCGAACTCGTCTGGACGATCACGGATGACGAAACAGACCGCGCCGACACGTCCGGAACATCGACTTTAGCTAAAAAGGGCACCCACTAGAAAGGGCACCCGCATTGTTATGGTTTCGCGCAAACAAATGACACGAATATCGATACATATTTTTTTTACGGGACGCGGGCCCGGGCTCAACTCGGATTCGACTCCAGTTTGATTCGGGCTGAACACGGGCTAATTGCCTCACCTTTTGTGACTTAATTTGTTTCCTTTCAGGAACCCAACAAAACAGTCGCTCGATCCCCCTCACGCTCCCGAGCGAAGTTCCCGTTCGATATT